AGCATTGTCGTCTTCATGACTGGCCATGATCGAAATCTTGAATATCTACTTTGATCTTTGGTTTCCAGGGAATGAAAGATGGAGAGAGCAGGTTTCTCATAGGCGACACCACTGATTTTACCGGTTGACCAGAACCTGAAGTGGGCCTGAGACTTTGACTTTAATGCTGGAATGGAGGAGTAAAGGGTGTACCTGCAAGGCACTCTGATGTTAAAGTCAATAGGAGCACAAAAAGATACAAGATAGAAAGTCTAGGGTTTTAGAAGTATGTGATGAACATTGAATACCTGGCCCTCATATGTGTGAGGGTTTATATAATGCATCTGACATTTGGCCATTGGTCCCTATTTTTAGGCCAAGATATGCGGGTCTGCAAAAATAGATAACTATCAGGACTTGGTCAAAACAGTCAGTCATGTCCGTAACTAACTGTTGCATCGAGCAAGGATGAGATGACAGGCAGAAGCGTTTATGAGTGTTTCCTGGTTGTCTGTTCGACTCATGTCAGGCAGACGTGGGGGAAGTTGTCGTTGTGGGCAGATGCGTCTTAGATGTTCCTTGGTTGTCTGCTTCATGCGTGTCGAGCAGACTTGGAGGTAACCGTTGTGGGCAGGCGCAAGGATGCCAGGAATTAGTCGTAACGGGCAGAGATGCTGGTCGTTGCGACGTGCAGAGAAGTGTTCACGGGCAATCGTGATTCTTCCATTCCTGGATCACAGTCCTCGTGCGACTCGCAGGATGAAGACTAGCCTGTTTGAGCGGGAAGTTGTGGTCTCGTTGATTATGGGGGGACAATCGACCACGTGTCCCCGACTGATGGCCAAAAGTAGCTGCAGAGGGTAGTGGTGGTCTCGTTGGTCCTGAGAGGACAACCAACCACATGTCCCCGATTGAGGGGCAAAAGTACTAATGAGGACATATGTAGTCTCTTTGGTCTTTGGGGGGGCAACCGACCACGTGTCTCCGGTTGAGAGGTAGAAGTGTTGGTGAGAGCATATGTCATCTCTTTGATCTTTGGAGGACAACCAACCATGTGTCCCAGAATAATAATATATATAAAATAGAATTGTTAGGTATATGTAAATTATATATAAATAAAATATAAAAGTCAAGTGATGATTTTATTATTATTAATTTATTTTATTTTTATCATTTTTACAATTCATTATTTAGAGGATTAGGGTAAAATTTAAAAAAAAATGATAATAAAAATTTAAGATTTTAATATGATACTGCATTGAATTTAGATTAAATAGATAATATCACATAGAAAATAATATTAGAATTGTGTTTAAGATTGTCATCATAATAATTTTGAATTTAAATTCAATAGATAAATAAATATATTAGTCCTTTTAATCTCTTAAATTATAAATATTATACAATGATAAAAAGAACGAAAGATGATTACATTTGTAAATTAAGGGACGAAATACATAATGTTTGTAACTATGAAGACCAATGTTTATAACTTAAGGAAACAAAAATGTATTTTTAATAATTAAAAAAACAATCTTAAACAGATATAAAAAATAAAAGTAATTTAAAAAAAAACAAAAAAAACCCTACAACAAACCCACATATTTTTTAGATATCGTGAACAGAACAGACGCACCGGTCAAAAAAACATACGAGAAACCAGTGCGTTACGTGTATACGCACTGAAGTGACGAAAGTACCCCTGTTTATTTAGTTACATTCTCTACATGAACCGCTCTTCGGTTTCTTCTTCCATTTTTTTGATTTGAGAAAGGAGAGAAGAAAGATGATACCGCAGCAATGGGCGTCTCCATGCGGAAAACAATGCACCAATAAATACGCAGCCCTCACCAAACTTCCATGTAATTTCTTTCTCTATTCTTCTTTCTTTTTTTTTCCTTTTCATTTTTCTAATTTCAATCTTCTCATGAATCCTCTACTTGTTGTTTAACTCTAGGGCGAGTTTTCTGCAAGAAAGGATGTGATTCAGATGGAGATACATGGGAAGAATGTAAGATCACTTTTCTAATTCATTCTTTTTTTTTTTCTTACAATTTTTTGTTAATCAATATAATTTTTAATTTCTTGTACTATTTATCCATTTATTGTCTTTCATTAATTTGATAAAATAAAAGTTTTGATTTGATAATCGTAGTTAAACACACTAATTGCCTGAGTAAAGAGGAAATTCTGATTAATTTATTACAATGGACACCTGATACCATATCAGTAATAATTTGAAAAAAAATGAATATGTGTAAAGTAAAAGTAAACACATGTGTTGTGAGACACTGACACGTGTTTGACACCGACACCGACACCAACACACCATTTTTCAAAGGTGTCTTCGGTGTTATAGTGCTTCCGATTGTTTAATTGATAAACCACTTTGGCTATTAGAAATATAATGTAATGTTTGTAGAATTTCTGTCATGGCATTATGGCATGGAGGATTCTATGCCCGCTTCCATAGGTCACAAGCCGCAATGGTGGATTTTTGGCTGGCTGCAACAATTTCCCTTTTGTAGCGTTATTTGCACGATAAACTCTTGCTTTTTAGTCCCCCATTGGCTAGGTTAGGTTAGTTTTTGTTATTGAATCAAAATAAAATGATGCATGGCGTAACGAGAGCCAGTTTGGAATTGGATAGACTTTGCTAAGCATTTGCAGACGAGAAAAAGTTGAAGTGATCTCTGCAATAATAACTGAGTAGTTTAACCAATAATTGCTCATGTGAATTGAAATCGACCTTTACACAAAAAATAATAATATTAGCGTCTCTCTCGTTTAACTTCTCCATAAACATTTACAAACTTATTAGGGTATTTCTGTGAGCAAGAAAAATATATTAATTTTCACTTGAAAAGCTCCTTGGTCAAGAAATTAACCAATTTGGGTTCTAGCCAGTTTGTTAACACTTAGCTCATACTTTGAGAATCAGCACACCTCTAAAGCACTAGATTTGCATTAGCTTTCTTGGCAAATTCTGTGAAAAAGAAAGGAAAATGTATGATGTTACAAAAATTGATTCTGATTTACAAATGATAAGTATTAAGTAATGTTTAACCAGGTTTGGAGGACTGTAATCAACTATGCTACAAAGATCCTGTACTAAAGGACCAAAAATGGAGTGCTTATATTGATCGTTCTCCTGGATCTGCCAGTTATTCAGAGGTATTTTATTTTCACGCCTACGTTACTGTTACTTTTGATATTTGTGATTGCAATCTACAATTTAATTTAAGGCCAGCCCGTTACATTCCCCCGTAATTGTTTTAACATTTGATTCTTCATTCCAAAAGAAAAGGTTTACATGTTGAGGTATTGTCAGAGAAAAAGTAATTTAGAGTGAAAAGCTTCAGGGTTGATTAGAGCTATGATAGGGGGTCGTCTGCAAATTAATGATGATTTCATTCCTTCCTATGCAGGAATGTTTCCATGCTTGTGTATCTGGCTGCGGTTACAAGGTAAGTTTGGTTTTGCACTGATAATTTTAGTTAACATGTCATGTATACTACCCCAAAAAACATATACACCAGCACGCCCACACACAAAAGTGCCTTGGATCAGATGAGGTTCTAAGAAAGGACTATTGGAAAGACACTAAGGAATTATGCTTTTTGAATTACTATGTGCTTGCTTCAAAAGTCTACATATTTATTTAAAAAGGGAAATAAAAGGAACTACATAATGATTGTGATTATTTACTTCTCTTTATTGAAACTTCTTTGCATCCATATGACTCCATTCTGTGATTATTTACTTCTGCTCATTGAAACTTCTCTCCAATCATTATTGAAGTGAAACATGTTGGAGATGTAGAACTTTCTTTTTTTCCTCATGTTACATCAAGACTCAAGTATTTATATTTATATTTACAGAAACCTGCTTAACATTGATATATTGAAACTTGTGTAAATAACCAATTATACATGTTTGCATATTGCAGTTTGAAGTTAAACCAGATGAGGCTGATAAAGTCAGTCCCAACCGGCCATTGAAGCCTGAGCCTGAACCTGTTCAGAAGTCGAAGCGAAAACCTGTAGATCACATCTTCCCGCCTGATGTGCCAGACACTTCTGCATAGTTCAAGACAACCTAAGCTTACAAGAAACTAAGAATGTGTCCTGAAGAAAATATTTTATCTTTTTACATTTAATTATAAATATATCACTTATTTTCTTCTGTATTCAAATTTTTGGACAGAAAATTATGAAATGTACTGAAAATAAGTGATAGTTTTACAATTAAAAGTGAAAATAGAAAGACAAACAGAATATTTTTTTCAATGAAACCCCAAATTTTTCTTTATTTGCTATACACTTGCAGGAGTTTATGTTTTCTTTTTATCTTCGTTTATGCTTTGTATCAGCATGATTAAGGTCCATTTTGTAGGCAACATTGCAATAGCATTATTTATGCTTTAGTAATTCTTTTTTATTGGAAAGTTTTGTAGTTAGATTAGATTGTAAATGGATGCCATGAATTTTATTAGAGTTGACCTAGATTTTAATTTCTATCCAATCAATGCCTTTATACATAAACCATTATCACCGATAGCAAAGTTTGTTTGAGACAAGTTTTTCCCCCATTTCACACTGGATTTTATTTTATTGTTTTTCAGCTGTACATAATATATACTTGATCTTCATGGCATACATGTTATTTGACGAGTGACATACTTGTCAATTAGCATACTTTACTTCAAATTCTAAGGAGCAAGTAAATCAATTCCCTAATCTTAATGTTAAGTATATTTAACTAAACAATTTGAAAAAAAGTTAAACTCTGTAATACTTTGACCACGTAATTATAATCTTTCAATTATGTAGTTCTATATTAAATATGAAAAGTTTCAAAGCAACAAAAAACCATTTTCTAAAGGGAACAACATATATGAAACATGGTAAAAGAAAGAGTGATTGTGGCTGCCAACTGTGAGACCACATTGCTTCATCCATTGTAGTTTCCGCTCCATATTGGCCCAACCATAAAATGCATCAGATGTGTGGCTTTCTAACTTACTTTTGGCGGCGTAAAAAATCCCGCACGTATGAATGAACCTCAGACTTAACCACCAAATGCATCTTCTTTGAATCTTCCCATAATAAACCATTCCATTCTCTGGCGCAGTCACACGCACCTTCAAATACATCCTGCCATACAAATGACATAAGGAATGAAAAAAGAGATAACAGGGGATCCCTACAACATGAACTCAAAGCACCGAAGCTGCTTACCCTTGATGGGAACTCGTCGTAATAATATGCTTCTGTCATCTCAACTCTGTTTATATCTGATTCCCACAGTCTAATCTGTCACCATCATAATGCTACCAATCAGAAAATGAAAATAAAGGAACAACACACATACACTAATAAGACTCAAAACCTGATCAGTGACATTGTCCGGCACAGCTGGTATCCTTTGTGCAACACGAGGATGGGCATTCTGCCGAAGGAAACTGACTATCTGCAACATAATGCACACAGTTGATGTGTAAAATATGGGGTCAGAACTGAGTAGCTTAAAAGCCAACTCACACAAACAGCTTTTCCTTAATATTTAACTAAAAGCAAAAAACGTTCAAGTAGAATTTCTAAGTTTCTTTGTTGGAAAAATGATAACCTAAGGTAGAAAGATAGTAAAAAGTGGGTCTCAAACTGAATTGCTCGTTATTCTCCTTCAGCAGAGTACTAATTAACACTTTCCTTTACAAAAGTCAAATGGTGAGAAACAAATGGTAAAAACAATGTTGAGATTAACCTATCTACAGTGAGTACCACCTTTAAAAAGCAGATGTTATACAATATAATTTCTAACATTTACCTGGTCTGCTGTAATACCATTGTCAAAAGCGTTATACAAAGTTTCTTTTGTAATTGCTCCAACAATAAGATTTGGAAGCTGATACTCTACCCTGGATACATTGCAAATATTCACTATTAGATATTTGTAAATGAATGAAAGAAACACTTGCTGTACTAAGACCAAACAATAGTATTTTGGTGAAATAGGTCATTTAAAGCTTTATTGCTGAACTATGAAGCACGGACACTCCGAACACGACTCCAACACTGACACAGCGAACCCAATAATAATTTGAAAAAAACGAATAAATTAACTGTAATTACAAATGTCGGTACAGTTGTCTGAAGCTGACACGGACACAAACACACAATAATATTTTGGTGAAATAGGTCATTTAAAGCTTTATTGCTGAACTATGAAGTACGGACACTCCGAACACGACTCTGACACTGACATGGCGAACCCAATAATAATTTGAAAAAATGAATAAATTAACTGTAATTACAAATGTCGGTACAGTTGTCTGAAACTGACACAGACACAATAATATTTTGGTGAAATAGGTCATTTAAAGCTTTATTGCTGAACTATGAAGCACGGACACTCCGAACACGACTCCGACACTGACACGGCGAACCCAATAATAATTTGAAAAAATGAATAAATTATCCGTAATTATAAATGTCGGTGCAGGTGTCTGAAACTGACACGGACACAATTTTTTCCAGAGGTGACGATGCTACATAGTTGCTGAAATAATGGTTTAGTATATACCATTTAAAAATAGTCTAAGATAAATTAAGGGTAATAACAAAATGCAATTCATGGGAAAAAAAACTTCCAATTTCAATGTTCACAAGTGCCAAAACCCAAAGGGAAGGGGAACATGAGGAAAGACTAAAGGCTTTATTTGAAGAAAATGGAATACAGCATTGCAGAAAGTATTCGGCAGCAAACCTTGAGAATAGCCGCAATATCTCACAATGTAACTTTGAAGTCGAATAAGCATAAACTCTAAAATTTGTTTCCACAACAACGAATCCCTGGAAAAAAAATAGAATGACATTTTATATTCACAAATGCTTTACATTTTCCTTTAGAAAAATACATATTTATTGTTGTAATGAGTGATAGATTAGAGCAAATCCACTAAAGCCAACCAATGAACAATTGACATGTTATGAGGTCATCAGTCTGAAATAGTTACAGGTGATAAGTTCAACAAAAGATTTAAAAAGAAAATTCTGAAAACACCTACAAGCATGAGTTTTCTGCAAGTTGGAATATGCAAGACAAAGAAACCAAAACCTGATAACTTGTCCAACAAAAACTTCCATGCATATGCGAGCAAAACAACTTAAACATATTGATAGAAATCAAATCAACACTAATGGTATAGAGAGTCTACCACATGCACCCCCACCCACCCCAAAAATTTCATCTAAGCAATATATAATTAAATCCATATATACACATGAACAAAATTATAAAGCAACATTTAAATGTGTTCAGAGTTTCCTTTTACTTTCTGATAGCATAATCAATTTTATTAAAAGGAAGGAAGAAATATAAGGACATCAATAAGATAGTGAACAAGGCACAGAGGGGAAAGTGCAGGTCAAGCAAAAATTCACTACAGAGCATCCACTCGGCACGTCTAAGGAATTTCCCTAAACAAACTCGGCATGTCTAAGGAGTCTCCCTAAACAAAATCACATGCATAAACAAGGCCACGTTTAAACTTGCTATTAAAATAAACCCGTTCTGAAATGAAGAGACCTCTTTTCTTGATGATGATTCGGTAAAGCTCACTGAAAGATTGGTTGCCAATTTAGTTGGTATAAACCAACTTTCTTTCCTGCCCTATAAAGTTGTGTCAAAAAAATAATAAATAGGGGGATAAAAAATGATGAATAAATACAGAGTTACATTATCATTGTTGAGATATGATACAATAATTATATACAAATTATATCATTTCTCAACAATCATGTATCTCATCACATTATCTACGAATATAAGTACACAAACAATATAACCTGTTGAAGTTTGACCAGCCCAAGGTCTGCTAGGTCCTTAATTATGTTCCTCTGGAAATCAGTCAGTGTGTTTATATTGTATGCCTAATCATTGAAAAAACTCAAGTGTGAGAGGCGCATTAAATCGCAGTTACAAAAGAGACCAGAACAAAACTAGTAGAAATAATGACAATATAGAACATAGTAGTTTCATGTACAACAGATTCATAGCAAGGCACAAGAACGTCTTACCTCCCCAATGGCATGAAAACTAAGCTCAAGCATGAATGAGATCAAGTCACCTGCATCAACACCTCTCTCCTGCACCAAAAGTAGATGATGAAGAGCGTGTAGGAATCAAATAGCAAAAATATGTACATATAGCGATAGATCAGTTAGAGCTACCTCAGAATTAGAGATATATTCTCTGATGATGTACCAAAGCTGTGCATTTGTATCCATAAGCTGTAGTTCATAACAAAAACAAATTCTATATTTATAAGAATGTATTACAATGAGTTCACGTGGCTTATATATCATTTGATGCATACCAAAAACTGGAAACCACTTTCAGTTAATTTTGGAGCTTCTCTGTCTCTGCATTGGTATATAAAAAATGACATCAAATATGAGATACATTTACAACGCCTGCAGATATGAGAAGTAACACTGCCAAGTAAACAGAACCTCTGACTCAGGAGACGCCGCTGGAAAACTTTCATCAAAGAAGAGCTTATGTTTAAGGTCTTGTCAGCATGACTTGGGCTTATAAGTTGCAACAAGAAACACTAGTTCACCACAAAACAAAGTCACTGGAGAGTTTAGACTTCATTTTAGTCAAAAATTAATCAACAACACCTTGCAGATTAATTAAGTCAAATAATTAAAGTGATTTATATAACAAACAATATTAGGAATATAATTGCTAACTAGATGTACAGATTAAAGAGAAAATGGAATCAAAAGATAAGACAATTCACCTCCCACTGTTCCAGAGCATAAGTCTCAAGATCCTCTAAGGTCGGGAGCCTCACAGTAATATTAGAAGGCATTGATTCCCTCGGCAAAGTTCCACTGCCATATTTAATCACAAGGACAAGTTACCAGCTAAAGCAAATATTGCAGTTGTACGACAGCAGTCTACATTTTAAAAACCACATTATAGTAACTGTTTTTTAGAATGAATTTTGATTTGAGGAATGACTATTAAACAACATTTTGGTCCTATAATTTCATGAAGCAACCACATATCATCTATATAGGTTTGTTAACTTATAATGCATGACATGGAAGGGTTTTCTCACCACTCATATTAACAATTGTGTACCTTCGTAGCAACCAGTGAACAAGATAGGATAACTATTTCAATGAACAGAAGGGAAAGGAAAAAAAAGACAATGATGTACTACTCACCCATGTACTAAAAGTTGCTGGAGACTTCTCTGGTATGTTGGATTAACTTTGTAAGTTTTTTCGTTCTTCCTGCTAGAAGGAGAAAAAAAAAGCTAAATTGGGATAAAACAGGGGTCCAAAGTGATATTCACGATGTTTCAGTATTCTCAAAGCTTGAAACAAAGCCAGAAATGTGGAGAATAACATACATAGCCAGAAAAATGAATAACAGACTATGCAATCGATATTAAATATGTGATGCTATAATGGTGATCGATAACTCTACAAAGGAACACAGATAAGTGTCATAAAAGAAAGAAACGAAAAAGAAAGAGAAAATAAAAAATTTTCAAGAGAATAAATAATGTCAAGTACCTATCAAGAGCTTCAACAAAAAGTCTCAATTGAAGCAATCTATCAATAGCAACTTTGTGCTTTGAAAGTCCATCAGGAAGCACCCATTCTGCAAATAATCTAGCTAACACTGGTTGATCAATATGCAGTAGCTGTAAGACATATTTCTTCGCAAGAGGCGGAAGTGACCTAACATTTTAAGATATGAATTGATTTAGGATTATTTGAATTCATCTAGTTAAATAAGTAAGAGGTTATGAAAAGAGTTACCTGAGAATAGCTTCGCAGATGAATCCATTCTCGTAGAGTTTATCAAGCTTCATGGCAGGCATTGAAGCCACCATGTCCATGAAATTCTTGGCAATGATTCTAACCTCAGGCATTCTGATTTTGATGCTAAATACCAATACCGTTTTTTTTTCTTCAATTGGAGCTTAAACGATGAAGGCAAAAGAAGAAACTTGAATAAGAGCCTCACTAGAGAAACCCCAATAATGGTTTGTCGATTATACTGAATCAGTGGCCGACACGTGACCTAATCGGCGATGGAGTAAACGGCGACGAGCATTTGGATGAATGAAGTGAAGAGGGAGGAATGATCGGGTGTGCAAGGTGCATGATATTACTGTGGGAAAACGGTAAATCACAAGGATAACAAAACTTGTGCACGATGGAAGAATATATAGATTTTTAATTTTCTTTTATTTTGATCAAATAAAAACTAGTTTAAAAAAACGTAATAAATAATTGAGTGAATAAAAATAATATTTTTATAAAATTATTCTTAATTATTGGTTATTATATAGTGTAATAATTTAAAAATAGTGCAGACAATATTTATTAGGAAAAAAATCAGTAAAAATTAATTAATATTACATTAAAAAAAGTAAATAGACTATTCTCTTTATCTAAAATAAATAAATGTCTTTCTAATAAAAAAAATTGTCTCAAAATAACAATCTTTTTATATTTTCAATGCAACTTTAATTAATGTCTATCAACTTTATCCTTTAATAATTATTTTAAGTTATTAAAACATATTACATTTATGACAATCAATAGTAATTAAGGGTTATTTTGTAAAATTGTTACATTTGATTATTCAATCATAACCTTTTTTAATCATGTGTAACAATTTTAAAAGACTTTTATTTCGAGATGAATGGAGTATTATTTCTTAATCAAAAAAACTAAATATTATACACTTTTGAAAATTCTAAAATATTCTTTGAAAATTTCCTTTCAATATGAGTCAAAAATCTGAAGAAGTTAAGGCGACTACTAAGAATTCTAGGGTTCCCGAGTCAAAGAATGTTGATTTGGAGAAGAATCAAACCAATATCGAAACAAATGTTGGACTATATGTTATAGCATATGTGGTTAGGAAAAAGTTTGTGACAAAGATGAAGTTTTGAAGAAGAAGTTAATGAGGACTGAGTTACTTTTATAAAATCATGATAACTACATTTTACACTGTATTTTCCAACTCAATTTGCTTTATATTTAGTTCATTTTGTCGTTTATTATGTAGTATTATGTCCGTTATGTTTGATTATTGCAGGTATTTTCCAAAGATAAGAATCTGAGCGAGAACCCAATAAAAGATGCAAGCGAGTGAAGAAAATAGCAAAAATGCAGGTTTCTGGTACATGACGTTCGTCAAGGCCTCATGGTGTTCGCCATATACCCCACCTACCACATCAGCAAGTCATTTAACCATGGCGTTCACCATGTCTGCGCAGTCCAGAAAAAAATAGGAACAGAATGAATAAGTTTTCACCCAACTTCCCTATTTTTTCTCCACGATTTCTACATGTTTGGAGATATTTTCAAGTGGTTGTAAACTCTATAAAAAGACAGTTTTCTCAAGTTTTCATCATCCAAGTTTATACATACAAACACTTTAGTTTTAAGCAGATATTTTCACTCTTGTAAAGTGGTAGAACTCTCACATCTCAGAGGACTACCACACCATTAATCTTAGAATTTTATCGATAGCTTGGATCAAAAATGTGCCGGTACTTTAATTCTAGTTCTTTGTACTTGAAGGATTTCCGAAGTTTAATTCCAGTTCTATTTTTAGTGTCTTCTTCAGGTTCTTTTAATTGCAATATTTATAGTCTTAGATTTTGTTACGCACGATCTTAATATATTGCTTGTGTTGTTGTTGTCCCGTACCTTTACCATACTCGCAATAACCTGTTTTAGATTTTTAATCATGTTTAGTTTTATGTTTAACAAATTTAATCGCATGCTTAATTCAAAAACCATGTCCGACTAATTTGTTTTGAATCCAGTATGTGAGGATCGTTGTTTCAGCAGAACTCGATAATGATTTGGCGCAAATATTTTTCATAAAAATCACTTTTCTTTGGTTTGGTTTTTATTTTTTGTGCCGAGGAAATCACTAAGGTTTCAAACCAATAAAAACAAAAGTGTGAGATTTGTACCAGATAGTAAAAATTAGACATCAATTAGAAACACAACGAGAGCGCTTTATAAGTGATTAGGACTTATTAGTTTCCAAAGAGTATTTCACAAACTTAAAATTGAGCGAGAGCAAAATGTTTGCGGTTTTGGAATATAACAAAAGTCAATAAAAACGAGAGTGTGACACAGATATTTTTAAACTAATATTTTTCTTCAAAAAAGGTAAATTTTAAACTATAAAACGCACCAATGATTTATTAAGTCCCAGAGGTACACAGGGAATTACATATCAGTCTTACCTTTAACAATTATTTCTATTAATTCTAAAATTCTTTAATTTTTGTTTGATTTAGCATAAAACCCATATATTCATTAGCCTTAGATGTACACTACATCAATAGGAAACGGTAGAATTGACCATTGGTCCTTGTGGGTTCAATATCTAATTAAAACTATATCAGTATTTATGTGCACTTGTGGGTTGACACCATCAAGTTTTTGGCGTCATTGCTAGGGACCAAATTAGTTAGCATCGCGATTCTATTGTTGCACCACATAGACTAAGGCAACAATTTTCTTTTACCTTCCGGTTGTATGCCAGATACTCGTTCTTCAAACAACGAGTTAGCATAACTATTATACCCCAATTTTTGTCCCTAAGATCCCTCATCATACTCTGTACATCTCACACATAGCATTGGTCCCATGGTTACAAGATCGACGAGTTTGGCATTAGGGTTTTTCTCTGTGGACTAAGGTTGTTACATTCTTCATGTTGATCCAGTTGTTACTCTCATTATTCTTGGTATGAGATTAGGGTTTTAGATCTCAAGCAACATAGGCGTCTTCGCTGGCAGGGTTCCTCGAGATATAAGGTTTGCTTCATCAAAGCTTCTTCAAGGAACAAAGGCATTAGGGTTTAACTCAGCCAAAGAATTAGGGTTTTTCCTATGTTATGCTTGAGCTTGGCATTAGATCTTCAGCAAAGTTTTGTCATGCTAGGCTTTACCCTAAAGGCTACAAGGATCATCATTGTCTCCTTATTATGATTTCACTGACGTCATTTAGGGTTCCTCTTAATTGCTTACACCACAAGTCAACCCTTCTCAAGAGGCTTAAAAGATTGAATCAGGGTCTTCCTTCTGTTGTGATACTGGTCAAGTGGTTAAAGTGTTGCTTTGGGGTTTTGTCGAGTTAAGGCGTTTCATAATGCTCAAGATTTGGTTTAAGATCTCATTAACCTTTCAAATGGGATTGGGTGGTCTCTTGAGTTTATAATTCAATTGAGGGTTGAGGTTCATTAACCAAGCATGACAAAAGGATAAAATCATGATTTCTTTGAGGACAAGGTCATGTTGCCCATTCAATTAATTGTTGTTTGCAAATTGATTTTGTTTCATTATGATGAAGTATTCATTCAAGTGTTCCATTTCCAAGTGATTTAAAAAGCATGGTGCAAAGTATTGACCTTTGATTTCATCAAGGCGTCGAAACTCGTAAGTACATATAATTGTTCACGATGTTAAGAATGAGAGTGCAAGCATACAAGTGATTACTTGAAATTCAGGGTACAAGTTTAAGTTGTTAGAAGATGTGACGGATCTAGAAGGGGGGGGGGGGGGGGGTTGAATAGATCCCTTTGAAAATTTTGCGCTTTTTATAAAATTGTTTTTATCAGAGAGCGACAACCCTGAATCTGATCGTCTAAACTTTATGTATTGGAAAGATCGGATATGCGAACCAATTTGATGAAAATGATGAGAATAGAATCACAACTAAAATTGAATATGATGAATCGCTTTAGCAAGTTTAACAAGGTGTGAGTTATTACCAATTAGTTGTGGAGAAGATAAAGCAAATTTGTGAGTTGTAGATTCACCAAACACTTGGTGTACGTACTACACAAGATTTGGTTATACTCAAATTGTAGAAATGACAAGTTCCACTTGTGCTTTTCCTATCCAATTTGCAACCCACAAAGTCAGAATCGGAATAGCTAACCAAAGAACAATCATTACCCTTGGAGAACCAAAGTCCATACTTAGGAGTACCACAAAGATACCTAAGTATACGTTTTACAGCTTTTAGATGACTCTACTTAGGACAAGATTGATATCTAGCACACATGCAAACACTAAACATAATGTAGGGACGAGAAGTGGTAAGATAAAGAAGAGATGCGATCATACCTATATACCTTTTTACATCAACCGGCTTACCATGTTCATCCCGATCTAGGCTAACCGTGGTAGGCATTGGAGTGTCAATAACTTTTGAGTTTGCCATATCGAATCGCTTGAGCAACTCATAGCAATACTTTGTTTGGCTAACAAAAGTTCCTTCCTCTAGTTGTTTGATTTAAAGACCTAGGAAGTAGTTTAACTCCCGCATCATGCTCATCTCAAATTCACCCTGCATCACTTTAGAAAATTCCTTGACCAAGGTGATATTAGTAGACCCCAAAATGATATCATCTACATAAATTTGCACCAAGATGGAGTGATTTCCTTGGCGCTTAATGAAGATGGTTGTATCAACCTTCCCTCTAGAGAATCCCTTTTCTAGTAAGAACTTGCTAAGCCGATCATACCAAGCCCTAGGGGCTTGCTTAAGACCGTATAAAGCACATTTAAATTTATAAACATGTTTAGGAAACTCGTGATTTTCAAATCCGGGAGGTTGAGATACATAGACTTCTTCATTAATATAACCATTTAAGAATGCACTCTTAACATCCATTTGAAATAGCTTAAAGTTTTGTGAGCATGCATAAGCTAATAACAAGCGTATAGCCTCGAGTCGGGAAATCGGAGCATAAGTTTCCTCATAGTCGATGCCTTCCTCTTGGTTATACCCTTGAGCAACAAGACGCGCCTTGTTGCGAGTTATGATTCCGTTTTTGTCAAGTTTGTTCCTAAATACCCACTTAGTACCAATAATTTGATTGTCTCAC